CTCCAGACTTCATTGGTTCTTACCATCCCAACGACACCAAACAGGAAGCCAGTCTACGCATCCATTGGTGGCTCAGGCTAACTGTCAAAATCTTCATGGACTGGTTGCATGTTTTGGTTTGACCACCACTAGCTCTTTTCCAATCTGATCCTATGTCAGCTAACATTGCCCACCGGGGAAGGCGATGGCTGAGAATGCATGAAACATGTCCTAGCCGTCTCAATCGATGTAACTTCACAGTCGATTGACTTTCCCTCTTTACCTAACACTCGACTGAAGCCTAACCTCAATATTATTCACCAAATTATACCACCCAACTTAGGAGATAGAACGCAGACAGTTATGATGAAATACAGCTAGCCTTTTCATATCTTCCACTTTATACGGCCATGTCATACAGTCGAGCAGTACAAACGTCATTTGATCGATAGCCAGTCGGATATCACGTCTACACCAGACATGGCTCATCATAAGGTTGCTCGTAAGGATTTAATAATAAATGAGGAGACTATCTGAGATAAACTGGAAATTAAAATCCAAGTTTTTTATAGATGATGACTGAAGGTAAGCAAGTTTCTAATTCCATTTTCGGTTGTCAAACATTAGATGAAACTAATAATGAGCTTGAATTCAACTTTGAACTATTATGAGTCAAAAATTCATTGGTTTTTCTTTTCAGCCAGCTTCCAGAAGGTTGGGCAGAAAGATCAACATTACCAAGAAGAACAAGTGATGGTGATGGTAACACTTCCAAACAAAACAAGCTGTATGCAATCCCTTATATTATCATGGATAATGACACAACTAAAAGAGTTATACAGGCAGTTGATAGGGCGATTGAAAACTTCCAACAAAAACAGAAACAAAGCCAGGTAACGGTTTGATGAGTTATAATATTTATTTAAAAGTTGAAATATGATTTCTTAAATTAAAGATTAACATGTGATTGACATTTACAAAGTGTATACATAAAAAATACTTACAAATGTGACTAAGAAAATTACTTCGCAATAACATTTAAGCAAAACGTTTTCTTTACTTTCAATCTTAATGTCATTCCTTGTTTAATTAATTGACTTTCAGATATCAGTTTGAGAACCATTGATATCAATCCGTGATCAACTCGTATAAATATAACTAACCCTTACAAACCAAACTATAGAAGACTTTCAGATAGTTAAAGTGCCCAGGGTTTATTATATGCAGACATATTTTGTTTATTAGTAGCTAGAGGTAAAACACAGGACGGTTATTCCCACGCATTTAGGGCTTTCAAGCTGAATGTATTTTCTATCCACTAAGTGATGCTTATTCTATCAGAATTAGTACCTAACATTAACCTGACATTAAACAGTTATCATCTACGTAAATGATACATGGTAATCGCTTCGATTAGCAACGGGAACCATTTCGCTTTTCTTTATTTTACATTCAGTTTGCTATTGTCTCCTACTCTCTGTTTATATGCCTGTTACTTCTCACTGAGACCGTTCTAAAATGACTAGCTTTTTAGCAGAAATTAGTCAGTGGTCCTCGTCAGCGAATGGTTTTAAGCTTAATCCTTTCAAAAGTCAGCTTGTTAGTTTCACTTTCAGGTGCAAGCGCAATTTACATGAACTGGTTAGTTCGCATCGTTCCACTATCACAGATGGCATTGAAGTTGAAACTAAATCGAATGTTAAATATCTTGGACTGTGTATTTCCTTTGATCTTTCCTGGTCTTCCCACATCATGTTAGTTTCCAGAAAGATATCTCTTTTGACGTTCTCTGCAAGGAAGTTAAGACAATCTGGTTTCACTCACTCAGTCTCTACTTTTACAGTTTGTTAATTGTTGTATTCTACCTATCCTCCTTGAATGTTCCCCACACACTTTAATCTTCCCTGGCCTGCTTAAGAAAGACTACTTCGTTCCTCTACGAAGGGTAATATGTCAGCCGGCTGAGTGAGGGTGTTGCTAAACCAACTTGTTAATACTGTTGTAGATAGACACATGGACTCATGCAAGAAACTGGCGAATATTATCCTGTCGGATTCTGAGCATCTTCTCTATACATACAATTCTCTTCTGGCATCTCATCAGGTGGGACTAGAAGCAACTATAGAAGACTTTATGCTCGGATGACTAAGTACAGAAACTCTACAATGCCTCATTTAGCACACATTTTATGCGAAGAGAAAAGTGTAAGGCAGTAAATCGCCAACTTACTGCGTGACTCTTAGTAGACTACCCTATTTGTTTGGTTCATTATTATACAGTTGTTAGTATTTTCACTTAATTTAACTTTATATTCATATTCTTATTCACCAGTATTCTCAGTGTAAATGTCCTGTTTTATTTTTACCCAGTGTAATGAGAAAATTAGCTACAATACTGTACCACATGCTGAAAATTTCATTTTTTATCAAGAGCACTGTATGGAGTAAAGCTATTATTATTATTTCGTCAAACTAATAATCCATTACCAGGCGGACAGCTTGTGACAAGGTCATGATTTCACTTTAATTCGTTAATATTTCGTTCTACTACGGACAAATTCGGTTTAATAGAAAATTATTATTTTTCCCTTGGTTTCCAAGCGGAATATACGGCTTCAATATCACATCTCCACTTTGTTCTATTCTCTGATACCCTCTTCAGCTGGGTCCACGATTTCCCAAACTCTCTAATATCTTTCTCACACTACCTGCCCCATGTCACCCTAGGACGACCCACTCGTCGCTTCCCATTGGAATTCCACTCGAGCGACGGCCTGGTACCCTATGTCATTCGACGCTCTCCTCAACGTTTACCCAATCCACCTCCATTTTCTCCCACATATTCGGTGAGCGATCAGCTCTTGGTTGGGTTGTTCTCAGCCAGAGTTTCTTGTTGCAAATTCTTTCTGCTATTTGATCTTCATTATGGAGCCAGCTAAGCGGGCAGCTGTTAATAGAAGTCTGCAACCTGTTGGAAATGCTTTTCGTGAAACACTGGCCAAGTTTCTGACCCGTATAGAAGAAGTAACTGACTGACTTCACATTTGTGTCGAAAATTCAAATCTTGTTCCTTATGATGAGTGCAGAAGATTTCCAAACTGGTATCAGGTTGATGAAGGCGTATCTTGCCTTTCCGATTCTGACTGCCTTTGACATCTTCATCCGTGCCACCACCTGTAGTTGAAAAGATGCTTCTCAGATAATTGAACGAAGCAACCTCTGTTAAATCTCTCAATTTGATGGTGATTGGTGCTGGTTGTTGTTGCTGTCGTTTGGTTGTTTATCTCCACCACATACATTTTCGCTATATTCACTTTGAGTCCTATCTCCCTTGCCCTCTCTTTCATCATCCTCCTCTACTATCTTCTACTAGCTTCCAGGTATGTGTCAGTTGTGAGCCATTCCTTGTCTTATCTCTTCTTTCTCCCTAGAACAGTTGCACACGTCACCTTGAACATCAAATTCAGAGAGTTTCAATGTTTTTCCAAGCAGGTTTGCTCACTGATAACACGTAGTATCTCAGACTTTGATCTGATCTGATCTGTAGTGAAGGCATCCCTTTTAGTTTTTTCCTTCAGTTTCTGAATGTTGAACTTGAATTACATTGGTCGCTCTCCATTTGTTCTGAGGGATCCAGCCTCACCTTGAAGGTTCCTTGAACTAGATGATGGTCTTAGCCCACATCCGCTCCGCTTCTTGACTTTGCATCTAGCAGGCTGCGTCACCACTTCTTTGAGCAGCATTCAGATGAAATCTATCTGGTTTGTAGTGTGTCCATCAGGCGAAATCCATGTTGCTTCGTGTATATGCTTGTGCTTGTACACGCTGCCTCCAGTCACCAAATCATTGAAAGCGCAGAAGTATGTAAAGAGTTCTTCGTTCTCATTCATTTCGCCTAGCGAGAGCCTTTCGACCCATAGATGAGTTCTTTTCCTGTATTATCTGCTCCCAATTCAGCTGGCATTCATATCGCTTATGAGAATTTTTATGTCACCATGCGGGATATTGTCCATTACTGTTTGTAGTTGTCTGCGAAAATCTTCCCTCTTCTCATGTTCCGTTGTTTGTAGCACTGTGCTTAGCATCGGATAATTGTAACCTTTATTCCTTCCTTTTGAGTTGAATCTTGCTGTCATTATCCTGCAGGATGAAATTGGTTCCCACCGCATAAGGGCTCTGGCTGCCACCGGTGACATCATGGTAGCCTATCACTACCTCAGTGTGCTCGTGGTTGTCGTCTAGGTGACCAAGCGGGAGTAGATTACTTATTCTCCAGTTGAAAATTTTGATAATCCACTTCCATTTGATCTGCTCTCGCAGATACTCAGCACTTCTATGCCATATCTTCGTATTTCTTTGGCTACATGGGCAACCTTGCTAACCTTGTACATTGTACAGACATTGCACGTCCCCATTCTTAGTCTTGCTTTCATCGAGAGAAGACACATTGGTTGGCTGACTGGCTTCCCAAAGACTTTCACCAGCCCATGTCATTCCGGCTGTCCGATTCGATCGAAGAATAAGATTGTTGTTATTTGAAGTTTTTGTATTTTTAATATTTTTCTGTGAGCTGAAGGTGCCGGGCTTGGGACTGGCTAGAAAACTAGCGATCTAGTACACCAGGCGAGGTTTTAATAGAACATTCAGTAACTAAATTGTGAATTTTCAGACATTATTTGTGTTGACTGATTCTCATAAGTGATATATGTATATGGATGAACTTCTCATCATATATATGCTGACTGATTAACTTATTTATCCCCGTTTTGTGAGTACTAGACAGTTTTCTGTAAATCCATTGCTCTTCTATTTTTTTAATAATTTTAGACGATTGGTTGTGTGTTTATTAACAAAATAATCTCAGCCTATCAGAAAATTTTGAGCCGGGAGACATACTGGTTGGAGAAACGAGTATAAGGCATTTATAAGAAGTCTTGACATAACTGCATAGCTTATTAATTTGTGCAAGATTATTAGTTACGGAATTAATAAAGTTAGCGCACTGAATTATTCAACGAATTTAAAGTAATTTTGAATCTCCTGTTGACTAATTACATTGGAGAGCAATGTCTGGTGTCTGTTGATATTCCGACTTCAAATACGGACGCTTTAGAGATGCCTTGAAATAAATATAATTTTATTTGGTACAGAGGACGATTTAGACTGAATACTAGTTACTAATGAGTGCAATGCTTCTAGTCCTTTCTTTGGTGCAGACTGAACTCTATCAGCCAAGTTTGCAATTTAGTCACCATGCTAGGTGGCTTACCATCATGGTTCACTTTCAAATGTTGATATTGTGGTGAGAACTGGCTGCTAGCTAAAGTTGGTAGACGGTAATTGACGTCAATGTTTATGTCCCCAATATTGGTGGTGAGAAAATGAGAACAAAGGCTTTGCGTAGGCGGATACAGTTAGCATATGGATGATCTGACACAGCCACAAAGAGATGCAAGGTTAACTTTCTGTGAGAAACAACCAATCAAAAGACTGTATTTTCTACTAACAATAATCTACAATAATGTACATTAAAATCTATAAATATGTGCTGATTTTCTTCAATAAACGATCTTTTGCCTGGCCCTTGTCTTCTGTTGTTACAATATTAGCTAGTTGGAGGTAATCAGTAGGAAGCCTTAGACCTAGTTGACACTCATCAGCAAGCCAGACCTGGAATGTTGAAGGAACTCACATCCTTTCTGAGATTCGAACCAGCTTCACCCAGTGCTGCAATAACATTACACCAGATGCTAACTTACTTCCAACCAAAGTATCCAGTACAGCCCTGTAGGACGTCGATAGAGAGGATGAATAGCTCTGTGGTAACGTCTCTGATTGTAGCACTGAGTGACGCTGGTTCGAATATCAGAGGGGATGTGAGTTCCTTCAAGATTTTAGATACGCCTTGCCATCTATCACGAAATCTAGATCCAAGGCTTTCTGACGACTGCCTCCAACCACCTAAAATCTATGATAAGCTGACGAATACCAGTATGATGGAACGCGCACCCTGAATTTCACTGCTACCAACTACTAACCAGTTAACATCATATTCAACAAAGTGTTTACTTATACCAACCTTAATTTCATGTTTGTTTGTTTGTTTTTCCTCATGTTTTAGAACGTTATGCTTTCATATGACTATGGTTAAAAACTAATATCATACAGTAAATGAATAAAATTGCATCACAGTGTGGTATCTTAAATAAATAACGTAAAATAAATTAACAGTCTATCACAAAGCTCGAATTTTAAAGTTATGCAGTTGACTCTGACACCTTTTATGGTTAGCTACAGAACCTAGTTAACTAGCCTACCATGACTACTTAGGAGTACTATGAGGTGAACATAGTTTATGTTCATAAATGTGATTGTCCAAAATATGTCTAGTTTATTTTCGGCATATCGTTGATAGAGTTTTTATGATACACTTGTCTTCAGTTGTTTAACTAGTATTTAACTTTTCTAACTGGCATAAAATAATAACGTGCTCCTTATGTGCTAGTCAAAATTAACTGCTGAAAGTTGAAGTTTCACTTCACTGAGTTATATTCACCGACAAAAATGATGCAAGTCTGTAGATAAATCAATTGCAAGTAAAGGTTTTAGCTATTCACCGAAATGACAGATATTTTCAAACTGTAAATAGTGAAATTAAACGTAAAACCTTTCATTTTACTTGACAAATCTAAACAGCATACCTAAAAGTGCCTCCTTTATAGTCATGCTACAACTAGCATGGTTGACAATAATAAAAATGTCATAGAACCAGTTCCCTTTATTATTTTGCACAAAGAAAGAACTAACATATTTGCTCGTTTTATTTCATCGATTCTCTTCAACTGTGTACATTCTAAATAAGTATCAAATTATGAGCTACAAAATGCTGTCTAAACATACTTTTGTCCACAGTTACTTAGAGTTATAGATAGGAAGTATAAGCAACATAATTCCAATAATGATGTGAGCAGACAAATTATTCAATAAGACTAACTATTTTTAGTATAACTTGAGAGGAAGGGGGTTGATTTCAGATTTCACTTGAAAACAAGTATTGACCAGATACGAAATACAAGATAGAACAACAGACTGAATTTATACATATAATGATGAAGAGGGTAGGAGTGAATAGTAAAGTAAAATTATGACACAAACAAACAATTAAGTAAATTTAAAGGCTTAATAATGAGTTCAACTCAGTGAGTGAAAATTGAAGTCGAGATTAAATGGAATGTTATGTAGCACAACATGAAACTTTAATTGTTTTGCTCGTTTGCTTAAGTGTTCTCTACGGCCAGATATAAATATACTTTTTGTGATAAATGATGCTAGATTTCTATTCAGATTAAATGGATTTGTATTTTCAGTGTGATTTTATAGCGAACTGAGAACATGATCTTCCCAATGACATCATAATATTCTCTAAATTCTCACAACCAAAGATAAACTTCTAGATTCAATGTAAAGCTAACAAACTTTCACTCTTTATTCCAGTGTGTAAGAAGAGAAAGTATTTGATATGTTAAGAAGAAAGATATGACTTTGATGGTCCCCATGATATCTCAGTAAAACCTCTTAGCTGTCGGTTTCACAATTTGATCGCTTATGTGTGACAGTTTAATGGGGATATCTTTCTTTGCTACAGAGGATGCCCTTACAATAGGTATTTTCTCTTTACAGTAAGATTATGACAAAACTTACAGAATATGCATTCTGTTAAAGTGAATATGTGCGCTCCAATTCACCACTTGCCATATCGTTCGTACAAATTTTAAACATCTTTTCAGAAAGCCATTTCATTAATTAGGAAGGCTTGTTCTCACTACAAGGTAAAATACTGAAGTGAATGTTTTGTCCATTCCATGCTTATTTGAGAAGTTATTGACCACCCACTTCTCCCTTAGTCCCGTCTAGTCATTGAATTATTCAACTAACCCAACTTGTTTTCCAAATTCTGATGATAGTGAGATATTTAGATGTTCATGACTAGATGAGGTGAAAAAATCGTTAACTGACTCGTAACTGTCGCCAGTAATGACTGTGTCATCCAAATATAGCTTACAGAACATGCATTCTCTCAATATAGCTTTCATTTAATCCTCTTGATTCATGTTCACTAACATCAGCCCATGTTAACTAGTCGTATCCGTTACGGATGCCTTCTCTCCCTTTTCTTGTTTAAGTTCATCATTGTTGTACTAATTGAATTAACCTTTTTATTGACTTCAGCGGCTTATGGATTGAACTTTTACCAGGGAATAGTCTTGTTCATCTAGAATATGCGGATAAAATAGTCCTCCTAGGTGAAGATGCTGGCTAAATACAGCAGAGTCTTCTGAACACCTTGAGGAGCAATCTCCATATGTCTTGCATGCCATTCTGTCCTTTTAAATGTAGGATGATGAGGCTCCACGACTGGACTACATCGACTCCTAGCTTAAAGATAAGGAGTGAGAGAAATGGTAGAGCGTGTTGATCACTTCAATTATTGTTGAGGAAGTTGCGTCAGCCCCAATGGGCTGATCACTGACGCAATCTTACCACAGATGCAAAAGGCTTGTGTAGCATGTGCCAACCTGCATCATCTCTGGCTTAGTAGAAGTGATATACGGCTGGATATCGATCAAAGGACGTGTTTGTTGTTCAGTAGTTCGCTTCATCCTCCCTTATGGCCATGAATGAGACATGGTCAATGAAAGTAGAAGACATGAAAAGGCTGGCTGGCTAACTGTCTTTGATCATAGATGTCTGCGTTCTATCTCCCATGTTAGGTGATTGTTGTAAAAGGGTGAGTAATGTTCAGGTTAGGCGTTTACTGTTACCTGAAGAGGGAAAATCAATCGATGAGGTCATGACGCTGCATCGATTGAGATGATTAGGACATGTGTTACACATGCATGCGTAGCCATCACCTTCCTCAACGAGCAATGTTAGCTGACAGGATCGATCGGGTTGGAAAAGAGCCAACTAGTGGTGGTCAAACGAAAACATGGCTTCATCAGTCAGTAAAATCCATAACAGATAGTTTGAGCTGGGCAACCACGTAGGGATGTGTAGACTGGCTTCCTGGTTAATGTCGTCGGAATGGTAAGAACCAATGAAGCCTGGAGACAATTGGTGATATGGCTCAAAATCGTTAGCAATGGCATTGTGCATCTTACGTCATCTCTGGCTTAGCAGACGTGATATTCGGCTGGCTATCTGGCTACCTGTGATTTGATTTCAAATATAATTGAATATTTCATGAAGTAGAATACTCGTAAACAAATATTCTGTGTCAAGTGAACCCATCTTTTCCTTTAATCTTTGTGTTATCAAGAATCCTAACTAGGTTAATCAAACTTTTTCACGGAGTGTTTTGTTAAAGATTCTCTTACGGGTGTAACAACTCATCTGGCAACTTTATGTGATATAGAGAATTCAGCATATCTTGAACTGATCAAAGCAGCTTCCCTGTCTCATAAATTTTCGGGAGGCCATAAAATTTTGTGGTATGTTACCCAGTGCATTCAAGCTGTTTGTGAATTGTTTCATTAGAATGAAATCTCCGAAAACAACCCCTTCTCTGAACACCTTTTTTTGTTTTTTCACTAATGCTCGGATGAGGATGGATGTTCGAGAATTGTGGTAAAACTATAATAAATATTAGCGATTAGGTTTATTTATTTCAGTGACATAGCGAATATTAGACATTCGAGATTTTAATTTATTTCGACCTAAAGTTATACGGAAAGATATTGGGCGATAATCATCCTACATGTATGTTGTGTAAAATTTCAGTTATTTGCAAGGAGGGACAATTTCACATATTAAGTTAAGATGACTATTTGGAAAACCTACAATTTTCATTCGCTTTGAAAACTTGAAACACCGTTCTAATTTTACTGGTTAACCACTTAAACCGTGTCACTCGAGGAAAGTGAAGCCATTATCAATGTACATAAACTGACTGGCAGTTAGGTAATAATTTGAATTTGAAGATAAATTGGGCGTGGTGTATTACTTCACAGTAATGTATTCCACTGTAAAATCTTACACTGTCAACTGAAATTATTTCAAGCATATAAAATCTTACATTCTATGCAGTGTAGTAATTTTGGTCTTCTCTGTCACGTTATTATAATTTTCTTTACAAAGCTTTTGGAATACCTAGCTTTTATTTTCCGTTAACCTGGTCCAGAAAGCAACTGGATCTAGGAGTCTGTTACTCTTCACCGATCAGGTAGTTGTATTCATCAGCTAAATATAGTAGCAAGTAGATCACATCATGTGATCTGAAGAATTTCAATCCCCAAAGAAGACTGCGGTGAAATATTACGTCGAAATGTGTAACTTGCAAATTGAGGATTTTTATCTACCGTATTTCAAGTTCGCTCAAATAGCTAAGCAGCATTCGGAGGTTTGAACTGATTTGACTCTCTGAGTTAAGCTTAGTACACCAGTGAAGAGCTCAGCTCCAAACGAACAAACGGTCTTCTGGTGTTTAGATCATTTCGATTTAGCTAGGAAGCACCATTAGTCGACGTGAGTGGTGTTCAACTGCTTAAATCAACCAACTGATAGTATATAACGTCAGTTAAAATAATATTTTCACCATTCTCATTTGTACTCTTTTTTTGAAAACCATATTACTTATTCAATCTAGAACAAAGGAAGTTATAACCTGGAATCGTATGCCTACAACTCTAGTCAACCAACCTCTAAACGCAAATTACCAAGGTTAGTTTCACCATAAGAGTTTCTATGCTCCTCCGTCCATGAAATATTCATTAGATTTAATATATGTGTAAAACTTGGGTACTGCGGTAGTATTTAATTCCATAATAATTCGTTTATTAGATATGTCACACAGTCAGTGAAACAGTATTATTTACTTGATGACAAGGTTTCGAACACACACTCCTGAGAGGCTATTTTGTTGAACTTCGCCTTTCGCTATATTGCAATCTCGTATCTCTCAGTCAGCCTCTACTGTTACAGTTTTTTCTATTTCTTGTATTCTACCTATAAATTTGTATTGCTTTCACGCTTAATCTTTCTTGGGTTACTTAAGAGAGACTTTGTACTAGAGAGAGGAATGAGGCTATTCATAAAGACTGTTTCTATTCATTTTAAAATGTACTTAAAAATAATTCCATATTAGTTTGTTTATTAGATGCATCACACAGTGAAACAGTATTATTACATACTGGATGACAAGGCTTCGAACACAATCTATTATTGTTCATAATCATATCAATCAGTTATAATCACACGACTTCGAAACTTGAGTTTTATAGTTTTCTTTGTTCTCTCCTATTTGTCGTAGGAGTAGTAGAATTTTCCAGATGTCTTGGACAGGTGTTGAATCATTCCTAATACACGTATTTGCAATTGATTCGATAAACAAAGCTTCCGTTATCAATCTCTCCCTCCACCCTGTTACATTAGATTTTAGAACTGTCATCCTATCCCATCCTATTGTATGGCTGTGTGCAATTGCATATAGTGCTATCTACAGCTGAACTATTCTCCAGATTCCATATCTTATTGGGGTCAAGTAATCTAAATTTTGCTAGATTTTTGTGCTCCGCTAGTCTGATTAACCCCTTTCTAATACTCTGACCTACCTATTTAACCTGACAATCATTGAGGACAGGGTATTTTGTTTAATTTGTTTAATTGGCTTCACAGTATCGACCCTTTAACCGACAAAGCTTGTTTCTAAGTGAGTTTGTGGGTGGGGTGAATATCACTTTTATTCCTGCTTGCATTGTTAAGAATTTCCCATAGGGTTTTCAAGACACCTTCTTTGTAAATAAGTACTACTGATGATTTAAATTCCTTGGTGTTGTTGGTGCTTCATTATCCTATTCATGTCAAACATGTATTATCCTATGTATGTGGATAGGAAACCTTGTCATCCAGTAAACAATACTGTTTCTCTGACTGTGTGACATATGTAATAAACAAATTATTATGGAATTACATTAGATTTAGTTTTTTCCTCCTTTCATATGTGCTTTCCTGAGCTGTTGCTGATTAAAGTAATGTTAAATTCAGAGTTGTTATATTCATCATCTAAATGAATACTTGAATTCATGGGCTACTGGAATGGGTCCCAGTGGCTGAACGGTCTGCGAGGTCTCCTTGTGACCGGAAGGTCCTGAGTTCGAACCTAGGTGGAACTTTACTGATGGATAGTTCCAAACTAAGATGAAACAGCTATCCAGCATTCTCCGGTAGCTTTCCAATGGTTCTCTAACCGATGCCATCTCATTACGAAATCCTGAACTCTCCGTTACAGTTTTGCAAATACTAACCAATAGATCAGCAGTATACAGAAAAAATTCCTCATTGATGTTGGTTTGATGTGGATGCTCTTTTCTTTTCATGTAACATCTCACCTCTTTATCTGTAACCACTTCAAGTGATCAAAGTTTTCAACAGTGTGATAAAAGCAACAGTGGTTACAGATTTCTCTATATGAAGACAAGTCCAACCCGTAATGGGCATCTCTACAAAATAATTAACTAGATTTGGAGAAAAAGAATACTTTCTATAGGCATGGCTTGATGTAGATACCCTAAATGATAGGTCATCCTAGAAATACAAGTAAACACTAGTTAGCGTCCAATCAAGGTATCTAATACAGTCCCATAGAAGGTCAATCGCGAGCCTGAATAGATTAGTAGTAACGTCTCTAAATGTAGAACTGAATGACGCGGGTTGTGATCTCAGAAGCAGCATGAATTCCTTCAGGATTGCAGATGTGCCGTGCTGACGAGTGCCAACAAGCACCACATCTAGGTCAGGCAAGGCTTCCTGCCAATTGCCTCCAACCACCTAATAACAACAGCTCAGAGTACACCGTTTTAGCGAGCCACCTAGCATCGTTGCCACACTGTAAACTTGACTGACAGAATTCAGTCTGCCCAAAACAAAGGAACAGACGTATGATACTAGTCAGTGTCCAATCAAAGTCAATCAAAGTAGAATCTCCTGCTAATTGAATTTTAGTGTTTAAATAGAACGACAGCAATTCAAACGAATTCAGTTGATACAACGGCAATCTGTTTTTGTGGCAGTAAACAGACCAAGGTCAATATACATCTACTCTCGAACATCTTTAAACTTCAAAGTGAAATTAGAGCTGAAGGGAGACAAAAATCTTCACAACTAATTCATACAGCTTTAAGGACTGAATGACAATGACATCATTTAAAGCAAGAATTATTGAAGATAAATAATTTGATCAGTATGTATATACTTTGTTTAGTGGAATTCCAGCAATTGTAGCCAATAATTTTTTATTTTTCAATTTATTTATTTATCTTTTTAGTTCATTTGTCCATCGTTCACGTGTTCAACGGATAATTGATGATTTTCTTTACAAAGCGAAGAAAAGGTGAGTGATGAACATACTTTTATTCATTTTTGTTGAATGGCCTTCGGTATACAGCTATTTAGTATTTTGTAGTTCCTCTTAGTTCTCTGGTCGATATGAATCACTCATAATTTTACTTTATAACTGTAACTTCTATCACTGTCGCCTAACGTTATCATTCTTCACGGAGTCGTGTTTACGTTTCAGGAACCTTAACATTGTCTATTCACGCAATTTATTATGGACAATAAAGAGTAGAGCAGATCCTAGTTTTGTGTGAATAAATGTATTTATTGAAATTAAATGAATTCTTGATCATAATATCAAACTATAAACTATCATACATTATGAATTCCCTGAAGCTGACTTATCATGGTCAGCATTATTGAGTGAACTAGCTGAAAATTACTCATCTAAAGTTTCAGCTTCACTTTCACTATGAAAAAAGAATTCGTTGTTACTACGTTTTTAATCCCTAACTGTAGAAAAAAGTCAAGTTTCTCAATAATTATGATCCTGCTATGTTTTTTATCCGATCTTCTTGTTTACTACACTTTGTAATCTTGTTAATCTGACGCCTGACTGGAATTAGTCTTGGAACTTTCTCACTCGTTTACTCTATAAATACACGAATGTACAGTCTAGATGATGGTGACTTCGTCGCAAAGAAAATTTTCTTCAATGCAACCGTCTTTTCAGTAAAACAATTTGATAACTGAAAGTATGTATTCAATTGACGTTGAGAAAGAACCCTTCTTATAAGAAGAAATTACTTTAAAAAGTTGACTTTAAACTTTGTTTATCGTTAACTTTAATGTATTTTACCACAGACACGCCTAGAAGGTCGTTGTAGCTCAGTTTTTAACTATTCCCTACTGTACATCCACAAAATCTAACAGAAATGAACATGGAAATGTTAAGTCGGAAAAAACAGTGAGTTTGTAGTAGAGAATTCAATCTCAGTAATCACTGAAATTGATTATTTTCCGACTGAATTGCTCACTCACTCATAGAATATTCTTCTAATCACTTCCTCTTCTAACACTAACCTTCGAATGTATTACTTTTCAAATATCCTTTAGTTCGAAAACGCTTATTATAGGGGAAGTAAGATCATGAAATAAAGCTACTCATTCACCTTATACCTATCTCATGAAGTTTCATTTTCATATAAATTATATAAAGAGAAAATAATATGCTTTATATTAATTTCTAATTTACCTAGAGGGTTATACAACAGAACAGGTAAAGAAAAACGGCACTGTTCAGATGCGAATAACTGTCAGTCAGTGAGTAATAGTCAGCCAGTTGATTCTGTTCATTCGAAAGAAAGCAATCAAAATTTCCGTGACCATTCACCGCCAAAAATGGATGAATCTTTTGCATTTAAACCTGTTGATTTAAGTGATGACCTTTTTGACCACGACCTTCACCATACGCATTCTTCAGGATTTCATGTAAGTTGTAGCGTTTACAATCTAACTTGGTTTTCCCTACAAACATCTAACTACTTTATAACGGTCACATTTTAAAATGAAGTCTTTAGAATCAAATCGTTTGAAGCCATAAAACTGTGACTCGTTTTTGTTGATACTTATCAGTAGAGAAGATGTACAACTTTAAGTAAAGACTCAGGTTTCCTATAGAAAAATCAGACCGAAAACACTTGCTTTACATGCATTTTACACAGACGCCAACATAGACAAACAGGTAGATATCCAGCTAGGAAAATGCAACAAGATTGATCCCCTGATAATTTCAAAGTCTTTTACTTGAGGATTCATGACGAAGTTGAATTATAAGATAGAAATTGTAAACTACTGATTCCCGAGGAATGTTTCTGTCTGAATTTCAGCATTTCTTCAACACCGGTAACCGGTATGTCACCAGTGCTGATTACTCCTTTTTAATTGCTTTAACAATTTTATTGGTTGACTGGAAGACGATTCGATTGTTTTTAAGGTCGATTCTATCACAATTCAACTTTTTACTTAATAATTTTTCAGAAATACGAGTCTCTTGTCTCATAGGGAATTGGACTAGTTATTGTCACTCTGAAATAAAAATTCACCATCTTTCAGAAGATCATAAGTCGTTATTATTATTGCCTTGGGTTCCGAGTAAAATATAGGAGTTCAACAGCACATCTCCACTTTGTCCTATTCTCTGTGGCCGCCTTCAGTTGACCACACGATTCCTCGTAAGCGCTCATCTCCTCCTCACACAATCTCCTCCATATCACCACGGACACACACCTGACTCGTCGTTTCCCAATCGGGTTCCACTAGATAGATGGCCTGTCTTGCAATTTTACCCAACGCTCTCCTCAGAGTATATCCTATCCGTCACCATTTCCTTTAAAATAATTGTTGAGCAATAGATTCTTGGTTAGTTTGTTCCCAGAGTCTCTCGTTGCTAATTCTCTTTGGCCATCTGATCTTCAGTACGGAGCCAATAAAGGCAGCTGTTGGTAAAAATCTGTCGTAACCTGTTAGAAATGCTTTATGTGACATTTCAAGTTTCTAACTTGTGTAGAAGAAGTGGGTGACTTGACATTGGTGTTAAAGATGTGAATTTTACTGTTTATGCAGCGGAGTGCAAAGGATTTCTAAATTGATTTCAGAGTTATGAACATTCACCTTGCCTTTCCGATTCTAACTGATTTTGACATTCTCATCCGTGTTGTTTGCCTATAGTTGGAATGGTTAGTTTCATCACTTCCTTCTTTTCTATCTTTACTTGAAGTCCTATCTCCGCTGCCTGCATCTTCTGCCAACTTGTCAGTTTTCGCCTGCAAGTCATCAAGTTCGTGTGACATTAAACCTATATCATCTGCGAAGTCGAGATCTTCTAGAGTCTTCTTATCGGTCCAACGTATTCCTGTCTTCTTGCTCCCCATATGCGGTGTTTCGCACACTCCAGTCCACTACAATTAGGAATACCATCGGTGATGGCAATCATTCTTGTCTTACTTCTATCTTCAATTCAAGCCGTAATTGGCCTACTCATTTTAATTTTAGGAGAATTTATTACTTGTAAGAATGAATTCAAGCTGTACTACTGTGGGAAAAATGATAGTTACAAATTACTTACCATTTAATTCCTATCCGATGAATGAAGAGTATTGTGTTCGCCTCGTAACCTGATAATTTTCAGCTCAGTATATTAGGAGGAAATTTGTGATTTAAAACTCTCATATTAGAACATAACGGCAATTTCGTACTTCGGAAGTTTCAATGGTCCCCGAAGTGATGTCATCTACGTACCAAACACGATATCCTCAGTTCAGACACAAAATGATGACAACCAAAATCAAATAAATTTGTTTCCATACAGGAAAGAAAGACCAGATTTGCAGTATAAAATGATATCATTCTATTTTACAGGTGCTCATCGTCTGCAAACTACATGAAATTACAATGGTTATAAATAGTGACATTTCATACTTCAATGTTTGAAAGGTAATAGAGAAAACAATATAAAAGAATGTTTAGTGAACAAAGAATACTCTTTTCGATAACTTCATCATAAGGCTCTACAGTTATATATACATATTATAGTGAATGAATGAATTAGTGTTATGAACAACATTAATGCTGTTTAAATAACATCGAATCAATAATATCGAACCCCGGCCGACACACTCCTTTACCTCGCTAAACCAGAAATAATGCTGGTGAAGAGGAAAGGTTGGGCATGAGGCTGGCAACCCCATCCTGTAAAAACAAAGACCACTGCTACAGAAACTTTAAGCCACTAGCTTGAAGCCCTATGTTCCACTGGGGAACGTGAAGGATAAAAAAAATAATATCGATAGATTACAGCTCAATAGCATCAATATAAGCTGAATGTCAGAAAAATTAGGAAAGATAGTAATACGAATTCATGAATTTATAGTCTCTACTGAAGGCCAGGGCAGTAGTAGTGGCTGGACTTGTTTCTTTTGCACACAAACTATTGGTTGTTTCACGCGAATTGTGGTAGCCTCTGCTGTTTGGAGCATACGGTACCTCGATGTTTTTGGCAATTTATTAGGCACCCAGTAGATGACAGAGAAGGATTCTTCAATGCTGGCTTTGTGGCCGGTTGGGACCAGATGGTCTAATATCGAACTGTTGGTGGTTTTTACTACACCTTTACTTAGCCATAGTGGGATATGTTCTCGAGCACAAAAATCAAGTTCCTAGAGTTACACCCAATATAACTCGCTCCACCACAATCGCAGTTAAATTGGTAGATACAATTTGAAGTGGCCAGTCTGGCTACTTCATCTTTCAGTCGGGGAATCACCATCGGTCGTGTAGAGAATAATACGTGTAGTTCGCCAGCATTAAAAGTTCTTTGAACTGATTTCCTTAATTTCTTCGTAATTATCTCACATGGTATATCGCCCTTGAATTGCAGTCGTATATAAAGAGGCTTCTTGTTTACCGATAGTGAGTAGTGCTTTTCCGCTTTCTTTGTCATGTGTTTCTTGATGAATTTGTCGGGATATCCATTTTCGATCAAAGTGTCATATACAATGCTGAATTCATCTTCAATTACTTCTTCTGAGCATATAGCTCTAACTCTGTGACTGGGGGTCTTTACTAAATTTCTTTTATACTTGAGAGGAACGAAGCTGTGAAAATGTGTATATTCTCCTGTCCAAGTACTTTTTCTATGCAAATTTCTTTTCATGGTACCATCTGGTTTTCTTGTAAGGAGGACATCCAGGAAGGCAATTCTGTTTTGGGATGAACGCATCCTGAATACAAGCGTTACAATTTTTAGTTTAAGTCACCATCAATTTATTTGCTATCAAACTACGAAAAACGGAGGGTGAGAGAAGCCAGAAATCAGAAAAATCTAATAAGCAGTTTAGCTTGTACGTCTGTATAGCAACTAATATGGAATTACTTACTACCACAGTGCCCAAGTTTTGCACATATACTGATACGGATACCTGACTCGTATCGTTACAAATAACAGACATATGGTGGAC